CCAGGCGCAGCGGGCCCCGCGCCCCGGCCTTTCTGCTCCCCACGGTCTCGGGCGTGCTCACCCGCCGCTGGCCGCGGCCACACAAGCACATCTGCACAGAATAAAGGAAATCCGACCTTTCACCGGCCGGGATCCAGCTTCACCTTTCAGCCCAGACCGCTGGCTGCGCCCCAGGCCCGGCGGGCAGCGCCCACGTGCGCAAACTGCCAACCCCAGCGGCCGGCATCGGCGCCGACCCGGCGTTTCCCCTGAAGCTGGCCCCGAGCCACGGCCCCCCTGAGCGCCGTTCGCCCGCCGCGTGTGAGGGGGCGGTCAGACGTGCTCACCTGCTATTTCTCCCGCCCGGGGCTGCCCGCGTGCGAGGCCAGCCCCCGCGTCCAGGCACCGCTCCCACGGCCCTGGGGACAGTCCTGGGCCGGCAGAGTCACAGCCGACATTTCCCGCGGGGGAGCAGCGGGGGACACACGCCCGCTCTGTCCTCACCGGGCAGCGGCGCGGGGCGGAGACCCCGGCGCCCGGTCAGGCCTCCTTCCCTGCCCAAGGGAGAGCCGGGTGGGGCGGCCTGTGTGGCCCGTCTGCGTGGGCAGAGGGACTGTCGTGGCACAGCGCCTGCACCAGACCGGCCGCGGCCCCTCTCCGTGTCCCCCCCCCACTCACCACTGCTGCGGGACCACAGGGGCCAGGGGCGGGGCGGGGCGGGGGCAGGCAGTGGCTGGCGGGTCTGGACCCTCCGACAGTGGGCTGGGCTCTGCGGCCTGGGGTGGCCACGGGGCCGAGGGGGCCTGGGGCATGGCCAGGAGCTGAGCCCAGCCGCAGCTGACCCCTGCTGCCCCGCAGGGCTGCTCCCCACCAGAGACAGCTCCTCTCACTGAAGTGAGCGGCCACCGGGCAGAAATTCCTCCGGCCGCGGGGCACAGGCCGGTCGCCCACTGTGACCGTTTGGGGGACGCAGCCTCTCTGAGCTGACCGCGGCCCCGCTTCTCAGCACCCGCACCCCGCAATGTCCCCACATGTGTCAGAAGCTGGAGGCTGTGCTCGGCAGCAAGGTCGGGGTGCGGCTTCCTGGAGGCTGCGGGCCCGGCCCCCACAGGGCGCCAGGACACAGGCCCCTCGGCCGCTCATCAGGGCTCTCACCCAGAGCAGGGGCAGCGGAGGCCTGACCGCGCTGCGGCCTCTCCCCCGGGTAGGGACTGAGCGTGCCAGCGTCCCCTGGCGCTTGCGGACAGCGTCCCGCGTCCCCCTTTCTGTAGCCTCATGGGGGGCCGATCTCTTCATTCAGGGCCCCTGACGTCCAGGGCGCCTGCCGGCCGAGTCCTCGGCGTGTGCTGCCTGTCCCTGCGCCAGCCGCAGCCAGCACGCGGAGCGGAAGAGCCGCCTCCGTGAGGGACAGGGCCGGGGCTGCCCCCCAACACCCCGCGCCGCCCACCAGTCACCGCCCCGTCCCACGCTGGCCGCCCAGTCCTGCGCTGCGGTCCACGGTCCGTGGCTGAGAAAGCCGCGGAGGGCGACCGGTGCCAGGAAGGCCTGAGCCCACCAGAAGCGCCTCCCCACGCCAGCCCCCGCCGGCCTGAGACGGGGCCAGCTGGGCTGCCGGCGCCTGGTACCCCCACCTGTGCCA